TTCAATCTTAGTTGTGGGTGGGCATAGCCTACCATCCCATGAAGGAGTCGAACCAGCAACCTTGTTGTTAGGAGCAAGTGCTCTCACCAGCTGAGCCATCCTGCCACCTGTTGGCAGCTCAGCTCGGGCGCAGCTCACTGGCCCATGTGGGAATCGAACCGGCGACCCTGTTGCTCAGAGCTTGTGCTCTTAACCAACTGAGCCACTTGGCTGGCCCTAAACTTGAAGTTTGATTTGCCTGGAGTTGGTATACTTTCTTAGGGTGAAAGGAAGGCAGCCTGTACCTTTTTTTATATTGAATACTTCCAGGTTTCTCACATTCTTTTTGGTACAATAACCAATAAACCTGTTTTGGCGTTAGGTTCTTAATTGGGTCAGCGTAGGAATAAATTGGAGTATGTCTGGATTGCTAGGTGTAGAGTTTGGAAATCTGTAATTTGACTTTTACAGGCCTCTTATTACTGATGTGCTTAGGGGAAACATAGGGACAGTCTATGATTAGGAACATCCTTGTCTGCACCAGCTGATTCTATTATGAGTTCCACTGAAAGGAGAGCTGTGCCCTTCCAAACTCCAGAGCCCAGATCTAGTCTAAGGTGTAGATGATGGTGACAGGCCCAAGAGCAGTCAGCTCAGCCCTGTATTTGCTGTGTCTCGCTTTGTCCATACTTTAGAAGGTCACTTGGGGCCAGGGTGGTTTCTGGTTCATCTTGGGTGAATGCATCTTCAGGTTGAGCCCAGAATGTGGTTAATTAAGTTTACTTTGGTAAGATCATTAATTCCTATAAAATTCCTGGAATTGATTTAGCTTTATGGAACCATTCAGTTACCCCACGCAACATATATACATACAGGCTACAAAGAAAAATGTAATATTCTTCATATTTTAAAATACGATTCTTCTTTAATTTTGTACGTTTTGTGACTATACTTAAAAAGATCTATAGGAAGGTATTGGACCTTTCCTGTGCCACCAAATGTGGTAGCCACTAGCCATATATGGCTATTTAAATTTAAAATTAAATTAAGTAAAATTAAATAAAATTTAAAATTCAGTGCCTCAGTTGCACTTGCTATATTTTCAGTAATAAAAAGTCCCATGTGCCTGTTGGCTACCAAATTGAACATCAAAGATATAAAACATTTCCGTCATTTCAGAAAAGTCTCTTGGACCGGGCTGTTTGAGAAGTACTTTCACTCCCAGAATTAAATAAGCCTTTGGGTTCCATTACAGTATTTTGTTAGGGAAACACTTTTAGTCCTGGAACTGCATTTTTGTTTCACATCCGCATCTAGCCTGGAGTGCCTATCTAAATTCCATGTGCAATCAGATCCTGCCGTGAAATTCTCTGTACTTTGCTAGATAGAGTGTAAAAATCCCTGGATTATTCAAGCCCTGTTGCTAGTGCTGTGTGCCATTACTCACATTTCTTGTCTAAAATTGCCCAGTATTTTGGGAAATGCTGGATTCTTGTCCCATACCATTGTTGAGTTCTTTTCTTACTGTGTGATTTTTCTGGTCGAGAACTCATAAACCATAGTGCCTGCTTTCCCAAACTCTTGGGGTTTTGCTTCAGTCTACACTAATTTTCTGCATCCCACTCAGGCCTGACATTTCTGATCTGACCTTTCTGTACATGACGTACAATTAGATATTCTTACAAGTAATCTGACCTTTTGAGTTTGGGAATTAGAAAATGGAGATAAATGACCCCTGAACAAAAATACAACACTGAGATTTTTTGCTTCTTGGTCCATTCAGTGTTCTTTCAACTATAGTATGAAAAATCACTGTAGCAGCTGTTGCCTCTAATCTGGCTGTAGGCTTGATAAATCCCAACCTGACACAATAGAGTTTTAATGCTGTATTGGTGTCTCATTGTTTTGACACAAGGCAAGTGCCAGCAGCAAACTGAGATGAGGCCTAGGAAAACTAGGGAGCTTGGGGGTGAATAGCCAGGTATACTTATCAAAAAGGCATTTACACTGTATTATAAAAGTAAAATAAATGCCTTACAGAAAATGTAGAAATAAAGAGAAAAAGATACTCAACTATAATCCCACATTATACAACATTTCCTAGCATTTTGGCATTTTTCTTTCAATTGTCTCTCTCATTCTCTCCCTCCAAACACATACATTCTTGAAACATAGTCCCAACCATACAGGAAATACACTTGTATTGTGCTTTCTATATCATGTATTTTTCAATGTTATAATCCTAGCAGCCAACATTTTAAATAGATGTTTCATTTTAAAATTCATATGCTCTTAAATAGGATTTTGGAAAATAAGAAAAAAATTACTCTTATTTCTCTAACCTGACAGAAAAAGCACGTAACAGTTTTGTTAATTCCAGTGTTTATGCATAGTTTTTTCCCCTACATGGTTGTAGTCATACACATGTGTATATATCCTACCTTATGAATGTTTTCCTATACTGTTATACAACCTTTGTAAAAATTTTTAATGACTGCATAATATTTCTAAGAGGATGCAGTATGGTTTATTTAACTGTACTTTTGTATTTTGAGGTTGTTTCCAATTCTTTATTTCATGCTTTTTTTTTTTTTAAAGATTTTATTGGGGAATTGAGGGAGGGGAACAGCATTGGGGAATCAGGGAAGGGGAACAGACAAGTTGCTGTCCTTTTTGTTCTTCAGTCTAGTTGTGAAGGACGTCGCTTCACTGGCTCATGTTGGTATTGTGATCATTGCTCTCTTCCTGGCTGAGGCAGATCGGTANCATATGTGGGATCCGAACCAGGGCCCTCTGGCATCCCAAGCCAGTTCTTAACCAACGCGCCACTCGGCCGACCCAAGAAAAAATTTTAAATGGTGACTATGACCACTACTTTAATATTTTTTGAAGCTGTTAGCCAATGGAATTCTTTTTAAAGATTAATTATAAAAATTGAACAGGAGGAATTGGAATTATGACATTCCTATGATACAATTAAATACTGAAGAGAATCAACTGAAAGAGACAACCAAAAAGACAATTTAATAAATGGGTACAAATATATTAGGTTGTCGGAAAAGTCATGACATATTTTTTCTATGTTTTTCGTTGTAAAAATGAATCATGACTTTTCCGACAACCCAATAACATAAAAATTAATAGCTTTCATATATCCATACACAAAGCTAGAAAATATAATGGAAGACAACATCAGTTTATAATTGTAGCAAAAAGATTACCTAGAAATAAGTCTAACAAGAAATTTGGAATATAGAGATGAAGAAAACATTAAAATATTACTCAATGACATAAAAGAGAACTTGAATTGGAACACAAGTATTTTTATCTATCTAAATTAACTTTTGACTTTAACTCTATTCCAAGAAAAATATTAACACCAGCATTATTTTGGCAAACTCTGATTATAGAGTTTATAGAGATCAAAAAACATAAATACGTCCTGTCAGATATTAAAACATATTATAAATCTACACTAAATAAAAACAGTTTGTGACTGGTATAGTGTAGGCAGATCAGTGGAACAGAGTAGAGAACCCAGAAATAGATCCAATATATATCTGCCAGTACGGTTGTGATAAAGGTAGAATTTCCTATCAATGAGAAAAGATAATTATTCAGTAAATAGTATTAGACAATTGACTGACAATTGTGGAGGAGGAGAATTAGAGCTGCTAGATTGCTATCTCTTTCATTACCCCAAAACAGCCCCTCTGGATCAAGTATTTATGTACAAAATAGAATTATAAAATTATTGGAAAAAACAGAATAAAAGAAAATGATCTCACAGTAGGGAATGCTTTTAGCCTCCCCAACTTTATTGAGGAATAATTGACAAAATTAATTGTATATATTTAAAGTTTACATCTTGTTGATACATATACATTTGTGAAATGATTACCAAGATCAAGATAATTAACACTTCCTTCACCTCACATAGCTACGCATAACTTTTTATTGTATGTGGTGAGAATGCTTAAGATCTACTCTCAGCAACTTTCAAGTATATAGTACCAAATTGTTAACTATAGTAACCATACTGTACATATCCTCAGAACTTATCCTTATAACTGAAAGTTTGTACCCTTTGACTTGCATCTTACCATTTCCCCCTTCCCCAAACCCCTGATAATCACCACTCTACTCTGTTTCTATAAAATCAGCTGTTTTTTTAAGATTCCACATACAAGTGATATCATACAGTATCTGTTTTTCTCTGTCTGGCTTATTTCACTTAGCATAATTTCCTTTGGATATGGTAGTTCTATTTTTAATTCTTTTGAGGAAGTGCCATACTGTTTTCCATAATGGCTGTACCAATTTATATCCCACCAACACTGCATAAGAGTTCCCGTTTCTTCACCTCCTTGCCAACACTTATCTCTTATCTTTTTGATGATAGCCATCCTAACAGTTGTGAGGTGATATCTCATTGTGGTTTTGTTTTGCATTTCCCTGATGATTAGTGTTGTCGAGCATCTTTTCATGTACCTATTGGCCATTTGAATGTCTTTAGAAAAATGTCTATTCAGGTCCTTTGCTCATTTTTTAATTGGATTATTTGTTCTGTTGCTATTGAGTTGTATGAGGGAATGATTTTTCTGTGCGACACAGAGATACTCAGAACTCTTAAAAGATTAAACAATTTGACTTTAAAATTTTTGTATGGTGAAAGCACTGTGAACAAAGTCAAAATGCAAGCAACCTAGGAAATATTGTCTCATGTAACAAAGAGGACACTTTTTTAATGTATTTATATTGTTGTAGTTATGTAATCACAGTTGAAAAGGGAGACTAACTTTTCACTGTATAATCTTGATACACACACACGCAAAACTGGATTCAAAATATTTGTTACTCGAAAAATAGTACTACTATAATTTCAGACACTAGAGGGTACTATGAGAACACGTTTGACTAGAATCTTGCTTGCCAAATACTGTTAAGTGTAGCAGAAGTGATTTTAAGGACATATTCAGAAGTTTTGTTATAGCAGACTTGTGTTCATTTTCTTTTCTTAGCCTACATGTTTGGAGCTTCCAGGGGAATTGCTTCAACTCAAAGACTTCCAGAAGCAGCGCAGAGAGAGAGCTACAAAAGAATACAGGATGAATGCACAGGGACTCCTAGTAAGGACAGAGCTACATCCAAAGAAATCAGAGCCAGCAGGAAAAGAGGGAAAAGTAAGAGGTTTCTTACTTTGTGAAAATTCTAGGCCAAATAAAGCTCCAAGTTTTACATCTCACAAGGATGTAAATTGGCTGAAAGAACAAGCTAAGAGTAAACAAAGTACAAATCCTCCACATTTACTTCCCATGAAGGAAGAAGCCAGTGAGGATTCCACTAACCAAATCATTTGTCCTGAGTCAGAGGGGTCGGAGGACCCGAAAATAAATCAAAAAGGACACTTTAAGATACCCAAACAGGTGTTTCAGACAAGTTTGTCTTTGAAAGAGGAGCTAGAACAGTTACTGATGGAGAACAAGGAAGATTTAAAAAGCACCAAACAAGATGTTTCAGTGTCTCCTTCTCTTTCTCAGGGAACCAGAGTGTCTCCAAGTGACAACTTGCCTCCTTTTAGAAAAGCTGTACTTTCTACACTTCCTCCCTGTCCAGCCTTGGAGAAGATTTCCTGGATGAATCCATCTTCAGTTCTGCCTTAGAGATTGGCAATTTGTTGAGGCTACAAAGGTTGTTCATTTTCCCTGTTATCAGGGCCTTCCTCAGTGCTTAAATTTCTCATGTTGTAAATTTAGTTATGGCTCAGTCATGGGCTTCGGGGAAAATTATATCCTCTTGCTTATTTCTACATTCCTGGAATTTGATGAAGATGGGAATGGATAAGTTAAATAATAGAAGTAAATATTCTGATTAGGTCACTTGGTAGAAATGTTCCCAGTGGCCAGAGTGAATTATTTCTCATAATTTGGATTTAGAGGATTTGAAGAAGGGAAAATCTTTGGGCTCAGTATCTGGAAGAATCTATGCTTTTAAAATTTGGTTGTGTTTTGGTTTGAAGGGGGTTGGTAAAACTCTTAGCCATAAGTTTAAAAATAATTGGTACTTCACAATTTATTAATGTTCTTTTCCTTTTTAAAATATTACCTTTAATTTGTAAATTATACTTCAACAAAGCTAAAAAATATTAACTTTGTTTTTGAATGTTTTGTTTCTCATGTCGTAGACAAACAATAAATAGTTCATGTTATTATAGGAATCAATATCGCAGTTTTAATTTTTTTAGTCCATTTACTTTTAGAAGATTTTGTCCATTTTTCTAACAAAGCAAGGGCTTCTTTTTACAATGTTTATTATGTAAACTTAAAGGTTTTTGTTTATTTGATTTTTTGTTTTTAATTGGGGAATTGGGGGAGGGGAACAGTGNACAGCTCAACCTGGAGCTGGGCTGCCATGAGTCGCTGGTGACGGTGTAGGCTGCAGCCCCTGCTGTAGTGGGTTGCCATGGGCTGCAGTGGGTTGCCATGGGCTACTGTGTGTAGCCAGCAGCCAGCATGAGTGGCCAGCAGCCGCAGTGAGCGGCCGTCCAGAAGCCGGCGACTGATCTGCCTCGCATGGGAAGAGAGCAATGATGGTGCCAACTTGGGCCAGTGAAGCAACATCCTCCACAATTAGAGCGAAGAACAAAAGGATAGCAACTTGTCTGTTCCCCTTCCCCCAATTCCCCAATGAAAATCTTTAAAAAAAAAAAAAGAATTGTAAGAAGAAGAAGGAGAAGGAAGAAAAAGTATGCAGCAGAAGACAGTTTGTGGCTCACAAAATATTTACTGAAACATTTTCTATTTGGCTCCATACATTAAAAGTTTGCAGGCTGCTGGTATAAACCATTCTCACTTCAGAATACTGATACAGAATCCTAAATAAAATACTAGCATTTTGGGGGCCAGCCTATTGGCTCAGTTTGGTTAAGCGTTGGCTTAAGGGCACGAGCTCTGAGCAACAGGGCTGCCGGTTCAACTCCCACATGGGCCAGTGACCCTGCACCCCAGTTGAACTGTCGCTGAGCTGCCAACAGGTGGCAGTGTGGCTCAGCTGGTGTAACAACAAGATTGCGTGTTCTATGGTGGGCTACATCCACCTGCAACTAAGACTAAACTCAGCACCCTGAGCTGAGCTGCCGCCAGGATGGCTCACTGGATAGAGCATGTGCTCTTAACAACAAGGCTGCTGGTCCGACTCCCGCATGGGATGGTGGTTACACCCACCCGCAACTAATATTGAACACATCACCTTGTGCTCATAGGCCACGAGCTGCCGACAGGCAGCCAGATGGCGACTGGCGCCCTCCACAATGAAGATTGAAGAACAACAACTTGGCTGGTCCACTCCCCCAATTCCCCAACATTGTTCCCCTCCCCCAATTCCCTAATAAAATTGTTTTTAAATACATAAATAAAATAAATATATATATAAATAAAATAAAATACTAGCATTTTTGGTATGAACCGTACTTAGATATATTATACTTTTCTTTTAATGTATCACTGGATTCTAGTTGCAAACATGGTTCAATGTTAGGAAATTCTCCATCTTACTAGAACCAAGAAAGTCTTATGATTACCTCCTAAATGCTGAAAAAAAAGTATTTTATAACTTTTTGTATTTTGCTGTCACTGTTTAACAAAAGTACAACATAAAAATCCTTGCATACCTTGTTCGATTGGAGAATTTTAATATATTTTATTTATCATTGTAAAACCCAGGACAATTTTATAACTCCTTTGTATTTTGCTCTCACTGTTTAATGTTGGAAAAAATTGATTTTTCTGTTTACATTGCTGATTAAATTTGCAATAGATAAACTTTAACATGAGAAAACATGGATCTCAAGAAAGAAGACTACATAATGTTTTATTGGGAACACTAAAAGCATTCCCATTAATATCAAGCAAAAAAATTTTTTTTTAAAGATTTTATTGGGGAATTGGGGGAGGGGAACAGCGCTGGGGAATCAGGGAAGGGGAACAGACAAGTTGCTATCTTTTTGTTCTTCAGTCTAGTTGTGGAGGATGTTGCTTCACTGGCCCAAGCTGGCACCATCATTGCGCTCTTCCTGGGCAAGGCACATCAGTCACTGGCCTCTGGACAGCCGCTCACTGCAGCTGCTCACGCTGGCTGCTGGCTACACACGGTAGCCCATGGCAACCCACTGCAGCAGGGGCTGCAGCCTACACCATCACCACTACTCAGGGCAGCCTAGCTCCAGTTTGAGCTGTTGTTCAGCATCTTAGCTGTAGAGGGCAGTGTCACTGGCCCNGCCCAGCTCCAGGTTGAGCTGTTGTTCAGCATCTTAGCTGTAGAGGGCAGTGTCACTGGCCCTCATATGTGGGATCCAAACCAGGGCCTTCTGGCATCCCAAGCCAGCTCTTAACCAACGCGCCACTCGGCCAGCCCGAAACTGAATTTTTTAAAGTACTATTAACAATAATGTCCAAAAACATGATATTTTAAGGATACATTTCATAACACATGTGCAAGACCTGTGTATTGAAAACTACAAAATATTGCTGAGAGAAATTTTAAAAGATGTAAATAAATGGAGAACATACCACAGAAGGCTCAGTATTGTTAAGATGTCAGTTATTCCCAAATTGATCTATAGATTTAACAGTTGAAATCCAAGCAGGCTTTTAGGTAGAAATTGACAAGTTGATTCCAAAATTTGTGTGGAAATGCAAAGGACTTAGATTCTCTAAAACAATTTAGAAAAGGAAGAATAAAGTTGGAGGTTTTTTTACTACCTGATTTAAAGACTTCAAAGCATCAGTAATCAAAACAGTGTGGTATTGGTATAAGTAGTCATGAAATCAATGGAACAGAATATTGAGCCCAGAACAAGATCCACACATATAAGGCCATTTTTAAATTTTTGACAAAAGTGCCAAGATAATTTCAATGAGAGAAAAACTGTCTTTTTAACAAATGGTTACAGAATAACTAGGTATACATATGGAAAACAATGAAGCCATTCTTTATCTCACACTATACAAAAAATTAACTCAAAATGAATAATAGACCTATATGTAAAAGCAAAAACTATAAAAAATTTCAAAGGAAACATAGGGAAAATTTTCCATGACACTGAACTAGACAAACATTTCTTAGGATACAAAAAGCACAAACCATAAAGGAAAAAAAAACCTGAATTGTGTATCATCAAAATCTAAAAGATTTGTTCCTTGAAAGATATTTCAAAGAAAATGAAAATAACAAGCCACAGACTGGGAGAAAATATTTGCCACACATATATTCTGACTAAGGATTTGTATCCAGTATATATAAAGAAATTTTATTACTAAATGAGACAGTTCAATTTAAAAATGGGCAAGCATATGAACAAGAAACTAAGATGATCAGACTATATATCACAAAAGAAGATATAAGAATGGCCAGTAAGCACATGAAATGATGTTCAGTACTATTCATTATCAGAGAATACAAACTAAAACCTCAGTGAGATCCCACCACACGCTCACTCAAGTGGACATTTAAAAGACCAACACCAACCAAACATAACTTGAGAATGTGGAGCAACTGGAACTCTCATATTGTTGATGGAAGTGTAAAATGGTACAACCACTTTGGAAAAAGTCTTGACTATTTCTTAAAAGTTCAATATTCATTTACCATACGATCCAGAAATTCAACTCCTAGGTTTATATACATCAATAAAGTTTTTTTTTTTTTTTTTTTAGTTAAAAGAAAGACTGACAATATCAAGTGTTGTAGGAGGTGGAGCAACCAGAACTATAAAATATACAACCACTTTAGAAGACAGTGTGTCAGGGGCTGGCCGAGTGGCTCAGTTGGTTAAGAGCTCGCTCAAGAATTTGAGCTCTGAGCAACAGCGGTTCGAGTCCAGCCCAAGCTGAGCAGCCGCTGAGCTGCCAACAGGTAGCAGGATGGCTCAGCTAAAAAAAAAAAAATAGAAGACAGTGTGTCAATTTCTTTTGAAGTTATCAGCCCACAATCCATTCCTAGCGATTTATTGCAAGATTAATGAAAGCACATATCTATACAAAGACTTGGACAAAAATTGATGGCTTTATTGCTGCAAGTCCTAAACTGGAATCCAAATTTCTAATAGGCAAATGGGTAAATAGTGGAATATCCATAAAGTGGATTAGTACTCAGCAATAAAAAGGGACAAACTATGATGCACATAACGTGAATAACTCTCAAAAAATATTTCTGAGCAAAATAAGCCAGATGCAAAAGAGCATATACATACTGCATGATTTTATTATATGAAACTCCAGTAAAAACAAAACTAATTGATGGTGAGTGAAAGCAGACCAGTGATTGCCTAGGGCTACTGACCGGAGTTGGAGCTTGACTGCAGAGGGGCCCGTGGGAATTTTTTCAAGCAATATGAATGGTCTATATCTTGATTATGGTGGTAGTTACACCAATGTATACATTCAGCAAAATTCATTGAACTGTACATGCATTTTATTGTGCATAAACTATGCCTCTAATGGGTATAGGGGAAATAATCATTAGGGTTACAGCATTTTGTTAAATTATATCAATGAACAGAGGAAGCAAATATGTGTTGCTAATATAGTCAGGTAAAATTTAAACAAAATTTTAAAAGAAACAGTAATACAGGCACATGGTTATAAAATAAACAGTACAGGGCTGGCTGAGTGGCGCGATGGTTAAGAACTGGCCTGGGACGCCAGAGGGCCCCGGTTCGGATCCCACGTATGAGGTCCAGTGACACTGCCCTCCACAGCTAAGATGCTGAACAACAGCTCAACCTGGAGCTGGGCTGCCATGAGTCGCCGGCGATGGCTAGGCTGCAGCCCCTGTGGCAGTGGGTTGCCATGGGCTACCGTATGTACCCAGCAGCCAGCGTGAGGGGCCGGCAGCCGCAGTGAGTGGCCGTCCAGAAGCCGGCAACTGATCTGCCTCGCCCGGGAAGAGCGCAATGATGGTGCCAACTTGGGCCAGTAAAGCAACATTCTCCACAACTAGACTGAAGAACAAAATGACAGCAACTTGTCTGTTCCCCTTCCCCCAATTCCCCAGCTCTGTTCCTTTCCCCCCAATTCCCCAATTTAAAAAAAAACTAAAATAAATAGTACAGAAGTACTTATAATGAAAATAAATATCACCCTGCCTCATTCTATCTCAACCTCAGTAATTTCCCCAGAGGCACCCATTTTTACTATTTTAATTCCACCTCCCTTGTTTTTCCTC